CACAGTCCTCTGAGAAACAGATGATTTTAGTAGTATCAATTCTCTGGGTCCCCTGTTGCTCTTTAATGGGTTCACCGCTGAATCCATCCTATGGAATTCCCTACCCAAATTTGTCTGACTATCTCCTACTCTGTCCACTTTCAAGTGATCCCTGACAACCCTTCTCCTCGCCTTCACCCACCAACTGTACTTTCTCTATCAGCTCATCCCCCACAGTTCTTACCTTTTGTATCACTTGACCCTCCTACTTAGATTGAAAGCTCTAATGAGCAGGACCCTCTGATTCCTCCTGTATTGAATTGTATTTAAACTGTACTGTCTGTCCTTTTATTATAAAGCACTGTGCAAACATTTGGCACTATACAAATGCTGCATAATAATAATACTGTATCTTGTAATGATGTAGAGGTCAGCAGAAGGAATCAATAGGAGTAATGAAGACCAGAGATTGACATTCCTGGTAGTGTTGGTTTCCCAGTGTGGTGCTCAATGGTGTAGGGAACAGGAGACAGGGGAGTACCTATAGGGATCGCAGGGGTCACAATTTCCTGACCTGACCCCATGCTGCAGGGGGCCCATGTGGCCCTCCTGTATGCCTAGATAGTAGGAGCAGCAGGGGCAGCTGTATATACAGCAATTAATCTCTTCATTTTCCTATGCAGCTGCTGAATGCCACTCCTCCTATCCAGCTTCTTTTTTTGCTGCCCCCCATACTTTCGGCTCCCCATGCTCCTCGGCCCACTGTGCTCTTTGGCCCCCCTGATTTTCACCCCCTGTGCTTTTTGCCCCCCCCCATCTCTCTGGCCCCCCATGCTCACCAGGCCTGTGCTCTCCAACTGATATGTCAGGATGGAGAGCAGGGAAGGGGCTGGTATATGTGTCATTTACTGGCCCCTTTCTTTTCTGAATAAATGATTGATCACGATCACTGACTCTGTCTATTCATAACTGAAACATAATAAACTGTGTTTACAATGCTTCAGTTTATGAATGAACAGGAAGCTCTGTACAGAGCCATTCCTGTTCATTCATTATGTGCAGCTGAGGATGCAGAGAAGTAGAATGAGGGCTGTGTCCTCAATCTCCTTTCTCTCGTTCTCTCCCCCAAAGGTGAAACATCGGAGGTCTGTTTAGACCCCTGATACTTCATTAATGCTCCCCAATGGGACTCCTAAAATGTTTTAAAAAAATAATTTAAAAATATTTAAAAAAACTATTTCAATGGTAACAAAAAATAGCAAAATAAAATAACAAAAAAAAAACTACTGACACCATTGGGGGAACTACCAGGATCACAAAGGTTGCACTTGTGACATGGCCCAGGTTTTATGCCACTGGGCTCAGAGGGAAGTGCCTGAGCTGAGGGTCAGGGGGCCCTTCATGGTTTCTTGCTCCAGGGCACTGAAGTTTCTAGTTATGCCACTGGCAGGAGAGGAAGTATACTGTTTCTGCTTCAGAGGTACATGGTTTGTAAGCTATTTGCTAATAGGACCCTTTCTGCCCACCATCTCTATAAAAACATCCCACAGCAGAAGCCCAATTTAAAAATGTTCTATTGGTATACTAGCGGCCGGTACCTGTGTTCAACTACAATGCTGTACCTGACAGCCCTTCTGCCTAAATTACACACACAAAAAACTAAAATAAATATAAAAAGTGTTGTCCTACATCTGCAGGGACTGATGATATTACCTGGCTCTTTTCCAAACACAGAGGCCTCCAGTCACCCAAGCAACGGTCCATTCTCTCTGGCTCCAATAAACAGTCTGTGGGTTGTCTTTTTGTAATTTATTGCTTGTAGAACTTGTAACAGGAGATGAACTGAGGCATGAGACACTCCAAAATGGCTAGCAGCAACAATGAGAGGACAGTTTAAACCAGGGGCGGACTGACAACTCATGGGGCCCCCGGGCAATAGGGGATCATGGGGCCCCTGTGTCCTTGCCCAAACTCAAAAAAGCCTATGAAAAAGGTACCAGGGGCATCTCATGGGGCCCCCTACTGACCCCGGGCCCTCGGGCAGTGCCCGAGTTTCCAAATGGTCAGTCCGCCCCTGGTTTAAACCCTCAAAGCTGGGCAAGTCTCTTTGGCACCTGGTTACCCTGCATAATTGCACAGCTGAAGGTACCCAGTGCAACTTCAAAAGTACTGCACAGTACAGGAGGGTACACTTCACAAAGCTCACCACCCAGAATCCTGCTGAGTATGGAGAATGGCCCGTGTCTCAGATCCTAATTTAGCTGTCTCAGTCAGAGCAACATCTGGCATTTATATCCCAGAAAACACGCAGTCACCCAGAATCAGTTCAGGGTCATTACTCAAAAGTCCCCAGGACAGTTACTGCATTCCGGCTTTCTTCAGATACCTCCCAGTGAGTGAGAAAAAAATCCTTATCAAGACCAGATCCCTTTGGTAAATTCTCACAGCCAGTTCCAGTTCCCTCCCAGGTCTCCAGTCCCAAGATCTCAGATAACAGCAGCACAATCCAAGGCTTGCCTCAGAGGGGAAACACCCCTCTAAGGCTGGGACCATCTCTCCAGGTCACTAGACTATTTATCAGCTTCCCAGCCACCATCTTGGCACACCTCCCCAGGGACTGACTAGGCTCTGATCGATATTCAAGATGGCTATTCGAATTTTCCCTCCCTAAGCTCCAGGAGGTTCTCCCAGAAGCAGGGGAAAATAATCAAACTCTCATTCTGTAAAACCCATGAATAGACCAGAGCAATCAATCACTGCTCCCTTGACTACAGAAGGAGGCATAAAACTAAATTTACCTAGCAGACTAACTCGAAGGGTGCTACATAGAAAAAATAATCTACTTGTCAACTAATAAAACAAATCTAAGCAAGGGATTTGTTACAACTCAGCACCAAATAAAAGTGATATGTCCTTTAAAAAAAAATTGCAAAAAATGTTTAGTCAGAGAGTTAAAGTCAAGTTGACCGATGCATGGACAATGATCAATTTGGCCTGGACAGCTAGTCATTGATGACCCCGGTCATGAAAGGGTTAATGTATAATTGCATTTTTAGTACATTTACAGTTATTGGGCTCTGATGTTTGTCCCCAGCTCCTCTCTTTAATTATTGTACCTACTCACCTGGCTCAACCCTGTCAGGGACTTTGCTATGCAGCCTGCTTGGCACCCCCCAGTCTCTTCTTAAATTTTGTTTACTGTCAGGTTCATCTTCAGTGTAACTTGGAAGGGGAGCTGAAGATTGGAGCCCAATACATCTAACTGCACTAAAAGACCAACCAAAGCAAGTGTTCCCACAAGAGTGGTGATTACCTGCTGCTATCCATGCACATAATTATGGATGAGTCCAACATTTTGCCAAACCCAATTGTGCCACCAAATTGTGTTGTTTCACATTCAGGGAAATTTTAGAAAATTTGTGGTCTATTTTTACCTTGTGACTTTGAAAAGTAAAAGTACAGTATATTATAAAAAAACAACCAATTTAACAAACACTCAGAACATAAAGAAAACACCCAGGAGCCATTCAAGGTCCTTTAAAAGCCTTATAAAAACTTTAACCACCTTAACACCCCTAATTATGCCTTCATCATTTACTCCAATACATTTAGCTGATTTTTTAATTTACTGACAGGACACCCACAATCCCACGCAGCACCATTTTTTAATGACAAAAATATGACAGAGCCACATTTTTTACTGACACTTCAAAAACGTACATAAAATTGCCATTTTAACTGCAAACAGTGCAAATATCAAAATTTAAGTTACAAACATGTAGCCGGTGCTATTAGCAATGTGCTTTAAGCTTTAACAAAAGTCAAAAACCATTTTCTCCATTTACATTAAGATCATGGTTAATATAACCCAGCACAGAGTTCCCCCTTACATCACAGTCTGCAGGATTGCCCCTTACAGTGCAAGGGGAACTCTGATGCTGTGGATCATGATGTAAGGAAGAATGCTGTAGACTTTGGTGTAAAGGAAAACTCTAATATAAGATGGTCTCTGGTCATACATCAGAATCCACAGCGTTCCCCTTTACATCAGAGTTCCCACTTACATTAACTTACATTAGGGTCTGCAGAGTTGCCCTGGCATCAGGGTCTGCAGATTACCCTAGCATGTAAATAATGTACTTATGTAGAGCGGAACTCTGGGGACACTGATTTAAGATGGAACGCCAGGAACTCTGATTTTGGGGGAACCACAAACCACCTTCAGCAGAGTGAATACACTAAGGTAAGGAGGGATTACTGATATAAGGGGGGACACTATATCAGTGCTGCCCCTTACCTTACTGTATTCACCCCCTTTTTACATCAGTGACCCCCACCCCCAGACTGGCCTGGCGGTGCAGTCACTGAACTCCTCTCAGATGAGCCATGCAGGGCTCAGTCAGATGGTCCTCTCCAGGCTCTGTCTTGGTGGCTCTGGTTGCATCCTATATTCTCTCCATAATCCACACATGTCTGTCTCCTCTTGTGACCCCCATCCTGGCAGCGCTCCCACTCTTGACTCCACTTTAGGCTCCCACTTGGAGGGGGGATGCAGCCAGGTGGAGGGGGTGAATGGAGTAGAAAGGGCGTGCATGGAGTAGGGAGGGGGCAGAGCCAGGAGGGGGGAGGGGAATAGACCCAGGTGGACAGAAGAGAGGGGGGATGGAACCAGGAAAAAGGGGGGACAGACTTAAGTGGACAGACAAGGGGGGAGGGATGCAGCCAGGTAGAGCAGAGGACAGAGCCCGGTGGACAGAAGAGAGGGGGAATGCAGCCAGGTGGAGGTGGTGGATGGAGCCAGATGGACAGAAGCCAGGTGGAGGGGAGGTCAGAGCAAGGTAAAGAGGGGTGGAGGAGAGTGGGATGGAACCAGGTGGACAGAAATGTGGGATACAGCCAGTTGCAGGGGAGGAAGGAGACAGATGGACAGAAGAGGGGGTGGAACCAGTTGGGGGGGACATAGCCAGGTGGACAGAAGAGCGGGATACATTGCACGGTGGAAGAGAGGATGGATCCTGGGCAGGGGCGGACTGACCATTTGGAAACTCAGGCACTGCCCGAGGGCCCAGGGTCAGTAGGGGGCCCCATGAGATGCCCCTGGTACTTTTTTCATAGGCTTTTTTTTTGAGTTTGAGCAAGGACACAGGGGCCCCATGATCCCCTATTGCCGGGGGCCCCATGAGTTGTCAGTCCACCCCTGATCCTGGGGGACAGAAGAGTGGGTACAGATCCAGGTAGAGGGGAGGACAGAGCCAGGTAAAGAGAAGAGAGGGAGGGAGGTGCACCCAAGTAGAGGGTGTGGATGGAGGAAAGGGGAGATGGAGCCAGGTGGAGGGGAGGACAGAGCATGGTGGACAGAAGCAGGGGGATGCAGCCAGGTGGAGGGGAGGACGGAGCCAGGTGGACAGAAGAGGGGGAGGTTATAGACTGTTAGAAGGGAAGATGGAGCCAGGTGGACAGAAGAGGGGCGTACAGAGCCAGGTGGAGGGGAGGACAGAACCAGGTGAACAGAAGAGAGGGGGTATGCAGCCAAGTGGAGGGCAGGATGAAGTCTGGTGAAGGGGGAGGATGGAGGAGAATGGGGGCAGAACCAGGAGAAGGGGGGATACAGAGCCAGGAGGGGGGGGGGGACAAATGCAGGTGGACAGAAGAGAGGGAGGATGCAGCCAGGTGATAGAGGTGAGGGGGGACATAGTCCTCAGTCTTACTCAACAGATGAATACCAGCAGGCATGATCATCCACTCAGATTGGAGGTACACAGTGCAGCAGCGCAGCCACTCCTTTCCTGAGTCCACTGCTTCTGGCTCCCCCGGCCCTGCTGTAACTATGTAAAAGGTACCAAGTGGCACCATTACATCACCACACCCACCTCCTCACCCAAGCCCAGCCAAGGAGCCTGGCAGCTTCAGAACTGTGCTTGTGCATTTCCATAGCTCACCCACTGTTTAATTTTTTTACAGGTGGCCGCTGTCCATATCGGACATTTACAGGCAGTCTGTAAATTGTTTGAAATTTACAAACTGCCTATGAATTTATGGACGGTTGGCAACCCTACCTAGGGGGACCCAAGGGATTCTCTTAATTTGCAAGGATTTCCTGTTACCTCCTGATTTGGCTATGGAAAAAGGAAGTGAAGCAAATCTCCCCAATGAGATACATATGGCAAAAAAATAAAAATTATAGGGGTTACAGTATAACCCTCCTTTACTCTATCCAAATGTAAATAATTAGAGATGAGCAAATTTTTCAAAAATTCGATTCGGCTGATTCGGCGAATTCCAGGAAGAAATTCGATTCGATGCGAATTAATTCGCTACGAAGTTAACTTATAAAAAGGGTTTCTAGGCTTCAGAGAGCCTTTAAATTAGTGCAGAACACTGTACCTTTAATTTAAATGCCCTTGGAGATGAGGAAGGAGAAGGAGAAGGAGAAGGAGAGAAGAAGAAGGAGAAGGATGAGAAGAAGGAGAAGATGAGAAGAAGGAGAAGGATGAGAAGAAGGAGAAGGATGAGAAGAAGGGAGAAGGAGAAGGAGGAGAAGGAGAAGGATGAAGAAGAAGGAGAAGGATGAGAAGAAGGAGAAGGATGAGAAGAAGGAGATGAGAAGAAGGATGAGAAGAAGGATGAGAAGAAGGAGAAGGATGAGAAGAAGGACAGGACAGTTCTGTGACAGTTTCTGTCTATTTCTGACAGTTCTGGGACATTCACTCCATACAGCGGTTGAAACATTGTATCTATTTGTTTCCATAAATGACATTCTGCAGATACACTTAGAGGAGCTCTGCAGATACACTTAGAGGAGCTCTGCAGATACACTTTTTGCCGGCTTGGAATTATTCTTATTTTCATCCTACTTCTTCTTCTTCTTCTTCATCCTCATCCTCTTCTTCTTCTTCTGAGGATGAGGATGAAGAAGAAGAAGAAGAAGTAGGATGAAAATAAGATTAATTCCAAGCCGGCAAAAAGTGTATCTGCAGAGCTCCTCTAAGTGTATCAGCAGAGCTCCTCTAAGTGTATCTGCAGAATAGAGGAACTCTGCACATACACTTTTTGCCGGCTTGGAATTATTCTTATTTTCATCCTACTTCTTCTTCTTCTTTCTTCATCCTCATCCTCATCCTCTTCTTCTTCTTCTGAGGATGAGGATGAGGATGAAGAAGAAGAAGAAGAAGTAGGATGAAAATAAGAATTCCAAACCGGCAAAAAGTGTATGTGCAGAGTTCCTCTATTTCTGACAGTTCTCTGACAGCTTCTTCACATGTACAGCGGTTGAAACATCTGTATCCTAAATGTAAACTAATAGATACAATGTTTCAACCGCGTACATGTGTTCCTTCTGTCAGAGAAATGTCAGAAATAGCGGAGCTCTCTGCAGGGACACTTTTGCCGGCTGATCGGGGAAAAAATCGATTCGCGCACCCGAAGTAGGCAAATATTCGGATTCGCCGCGAATCGAATTTTTCCTTGAAATTCGTATCGAATTCCGGTTCGCCTGGTTCGATTCGCTCATCTCTATAAATAATGTTTTGCCTTTAGTTCTACTCATCCCTATTGCAGATCTGTCTGTAGAGAACTATGCAATTCAGCTATCCAGACATGTAACTCCTCACAGACTGAACAAATCTGCAAGCGTATATTCCAAATAATAATCATCATAAGAATAATTCTTAATAAAAAGCTCAATTTGCTCAGTTTATTTGATTTTCAATTCAATTCACTCATCTTAATAAAATATTCTGAATCTGAATTATTGTGTTTGATCGCTTATACATGATTGAAACTTACTGATAGGCACCTCATTTGTGATTTTACCTATTACTTTGTATATCAATCTATTTGTCTGGCTGCCTGCTACTGCCCATAGCACTGACTTTATTCTGCGGCAGCTTCAATGAAAAAAAAATGATTTATTGAAAGAAAAAATAATGCAAATAAATATTTAAGATAAATGATTTTCTGAGATTTTACCTGTAATGTATTTAAATTGGTACAGACAGTTGTAATTACTAAAGGAATTTAGGCAGCAGTAAAGCCAGATTACATCATTCCCCATTTATTAGAGCTGTTATACTGGCTGGTTTCTTTAATGTCTGTGAAAATATTGCTATTTACTACCATTTTTGTAGGTAACATGATCAGGTGCTGGAAATAACAGGCATCATACAGGCCACCACTTTTTTTTAAATGCACCTGTACTCATAGTATACCACTTAACCTCCCTGGCGGTATGATTATTTCTGAATTTTGGTGCTGAAAGCTGAAAGGTGGTACCATTATTTTGCATGGAAATATGTAGTTTTTTTATTGTAGGCTGTAATATTTAGGAATAACTCACTGAAATCTGTCCAAAAAAGAGTCTAGTAAACATCCCGGGTATGATAAAATTTGAAACACAAAATCATAAATTATAATTTAACCGTTTCAATACTGTGCAATTTTACACCTTCCTGCCCAGGCCAGTTTTCAGGTTTCAGCGCTCTCGCACTTTGAATAACAATTGCGCGGTCATACAACATTGTACCCAAACTAAAATGTTATCATTTTCTTCACACAACTAGAGCTTTCTTTTGGTGGTATTTAATCACCGCTGGGGTTTTTATTTTTTGCTAAATTAACAAAAAAAGACCAAAAACTTTGAAAAAAAAACACATTTTTCTTTGTTTCTGTTATAAAAGTTTACAAATAAATAATTGTTCTTCATAAATTTAGGCCGAGATGTATTCTGCTACATGTCTTTGGTGAAAATAACCCAAATTAGGATGTATTATTTAGTTTGTAGGAAAGTTATAGAGTTCACAAACTATGGTATAGATCTGAATATTGATCAATCCTGAAGTACTGACAGCCAATGTAATATCTTGAGGTCCAAGAATGTCAGAACAGTACAGATATCCCCCAAATGACCCCTTTTTTCAGAGTAGACAGTCCGACGTACTTCATAAGAGGAATGGCGAGTTTTTTGAAGTTGTATTTTTTTGTCATAATTTTTCGGAAAATGAAAAAATTAAAAAAATGATTTTCACTATTTTTTTTTTTACATACTGTCACCAGTGCAGTACAGCGTCATCATATAACTGGCATGGCGGTGAACAGGGACACTGACTGGTGACAGTATGAAAAAAAAAATATATATATATTTTTTAATTTTTTTTATTATATTTAATTTTTTATTACATTTTTTTTTATTTTTTTTAAGATTTTTTTTCATATTTTACTATGACCAAAATAGTACAATGTTACCATAGTAACACTGTACTACTTTGGTGAAGTGATCAGTATTTTTTTTTTTTTTTTTTTTACACAATTTGCTTATAGCAAAGAATTACTTTGCTATAAGCAAGCATTTACCTGAATGAAATCGATTCATTCAGCTTTTTTTTTTTTTTTTTTTTTTTTGTGCTTAGCTGTGATTTGGTCACAGCTAATCACATGACATGTGCATGTGATTAGCTGTGACCATTCACAGCTAGGCACTAGTATACAATGGATGGCATCATGAATGAAGCCATCCATTGTATACAACTGTCACGTGACCTGCTGTGATTGGTCACAGCAGGTCACATGGTACCGGCAACGGGAGCCGGTACTCGGATCTGTCATCGGCCGTGTCCGAGGTGCACGGGCGGTGACAGATCGCACTGCTGCGTCGCTCTGCAACCGCGCAAACCGCGCATGTGCGGGAGCACGCCAAATGGCGTGCACCCGGAAAGCTGCAGCGCTTTTCAAGCCGCCAAACGGCCATTGGCCGGGCTGCTAATGGTTAATAAATAATCATAAAAAATAATAATATAATAATAATACATTTAATTCAATAATATAATCAAACAAAAAACACTGAAATGTGAAATATAGCGCCAAGTTCGCACATCACTGAGCAAAGTCGCAAAATCGTTTTCAGTGTCTGGTGACGAATTTCTCCACGAATCATTATCACTCAATTCTGCAAGTGGTTCTGATTTACTATCGCTGTTCTCTAGCCGGTCTAAAACCGCTTTTGACCTAAAGGGATGCTTTTTGGACGTCATGGACGTTTCTCAGTTTCCAGGCAGAAAGATCAGTAACAATGCAGGCAGGGCGCCGGACAAAGCACTCGGGACAAAATGTATGTGAAATGGTTTGATACAGGAATGTTATACTATGTGATTTTAGTGTATTTTAGTGAATGTCACTTTTAAAATTTTGTTTTTTTTCTGCCGGTTTCATCCCCCGTATGTCCCGACGCTTGCAGGGAATGGAACTTGCAGGGGCGCAGAACAAAGCACTCGGGACAAAATGTATGTGAAATGGTTTGAAACAGCAACGTTTTACTATGTAAAATTCGTTTTGAAAAAAATGACATTTTTAAAAACATTTTCAAATTTCCCGGCGGCGCCCGTACGTCCCGACGTCACAGGGACCGGAACACAGAAGCCGGATGCCGGCATCAGCCGGAGGAGATGGCTGGGGACGCTGCAGGGGACACATCGCGGGAGCGAAGGACAAGGTAAGCTCTGCAGGGACTCCCTATGCAGCACCGCATGGTAAGCCCGAGTGTAGCTCGGGGTTACCGCTTTTGGTACAGAAACTTTTCCCCCGAGCTACACTCGGAAATACCGCCAGGGAGGTTAATGACCAAGCCTATTCTGACACTTCACTCCTACATTTAAAAATCAGTATTTATTTGCTAGAAATTACTTAGAACCCCCAGGCATTATATATTTTTTTAGCAAAGGCCCCAGAGAATAAAATGGTGGCTGCTGCAATTTTTTATGTCATGGGGCATTTGCGCAGCAGTTATTCAAATGCAATTTTTTTGGCAAAAATTCTTGCCCCCTTACCCCCCTGACCAGGCCATTTTTTGCAATACAACGTTGCGTTACTTTAACTAACAATTGCGCGGTCATGCAACGCTATACATAAATGAAATGTATGTCCTTTTTTTCCCACAAATAGAAATTTCTTTTAGTGGTATTTGATCACCTCTGCATTTTTAATTTTTTTATGTTATAAACAAAAAAAGACCGACAATTTTGAAAAACTAAAACTATATTTTTGACTTTTTGCTATAAAACATGTCCAATAAAAAAAAAAAATTAAAAATCAAATTTCTTCATAAATTTAGGCCAAAATGTATTCTGCTACATGTCTTTTCTAAAACAAATCCCAATATGTGTAAATTAATTGGTGTACATGAAAGTTATTAACATCTAAAAATGGCGGAATATATACTGGAATTATTTTTTAAACATTTTTTATAGTAGTAATAGCGGTGATCAGTGACTTATAGCGGGAACTGCGGTGGGCATTTTGACACTGAGGGGAACTGACTAACTGCCACTGACATCCCCAGTGACACTAATACAGTGATTAGTACTAATAAAAATCACTGACACTGTACTAAAGAAATTGGGCAGGAAGGAGTCAACATCTAGGGCAATCAAAGGGTTAACTGTGTGCTGTTTTTACTAGGGAAACATACTGCTGTGTATTTCTCTGCTGTGCAGAAAAATACACTGCAGCATGTTACTGCTGGCAGTAGGGAGACCTGTGTTGTTTACACACAGGTCTCTCCCCTGTCGGTGAAACTAGGCGATCGCCTCTGAGCGACATCTGTAGCCGCCAATGGCATATGTGATTTTGTACAGCCCTACCGCCCTGTAGCAGTAGTTCTGCTATAGGGTGGTAGGAAGCGGTTAATGAATTTTAGTGCAAAAAAAAAACACAATATAAAACCCAAGTTTTTGGTAACATAAAAAAGATGATGTTATGCCAAGTAAACAGACCTAACGCGTCACGCTTTAGAATTATGAACGCTGGTGGAATGGCAACAAACTACAATACGGTAAAATATCCATAGGCGACACTTTAAACATTTTTACAGGGTACCAGTTTAGAGTTACAAAGGAGGTCTAGTACTAGAATTATTGCTCTCACTATAACCTTAACGGCAATAGCTCACGTGTGGTGTGAACATTGTTTACATATGTGTGCGTGACCTACGTATGCCTTCACCTCTTATTAAAAATTGTTTAATAAGAGGCGAAGGCAATAAAGCATGACAGGTCCTCTTTATGGAGACATCTGGAACATCTGGGACCCCAAATCCCTCCTCTACCCTTGAAAGCATAATATTAAAAAAAAAAACATTAATCTCATGCTTTCCAGAAAAAAATGGCTATGTTTACATTGCACTAACCAGAAGTGAAACAATGCTTGTCTCTTCTGGTCCATTAGACCATAGAAAGAATCAGTGGCCTTCCAGTTCCCAGTCAGCTCCATAATCAGCTGGCAAAACTGCCTACTTCAGTGCCAGGCTCCACAATCGCAAGGGAGAGCCCAGAGATGCACCGACATATGGTGGGGCAGTAATTAGCCTCTCCTCCCATGACCCCCATCCCAGAGGTGCTCCCACTCTTGATTCTTTTTCAGACTCTCCCTTGAAGACTGCAGACATGATACAAGACAAGCAATGGTCAGAGACTGCAGACATGATACAGAGATGGTCAGATACTACTGACATGATACAAGAGATGGTGAGAGGTTGCGAACATGATACAAGAGATGGTGAGAGGCTGTGGAGATGATACAAGAGATGGTCAGAGACTACAGACATGATACAAGAGATGGTGAGAGGCTGCAGACATGATACAAGAGATGGTCAGAGATTACAGACATGATACAAGAGATGGTGAAAGGCTACGGACATGATACAAAAGATGGTCAGAGATTACAGACATGATACAATAGATGGTGAGAGGCTACGGACATGATACAAGAGATGGTGAGAGGCTGCAGACATGATACAATAAATGGTCACAGACTACAGACATGATACAAGAGATGGTGAGAGGTTGCAGACTTGATACAAGAGATGGTCAGAGACTGCGGACATGATACAAGAGATGGACAGAGACTGCAGACATGATACAAGAGATGGTGAAAGGCTACGGACATGATACAAGAGATGGTGAGAGGCTACGGACATGATACAAGAGATGGTCACAGACTACAGACATGATACAAGAGATGGTTAGAGACTGCAGACATGATACAAGAGATGGTGAAAGGCTACGGACATGATACAAGAGATGGTCAGAGACTGCAGACATGATACAAGAGATGGTCACAGACTACAGACATGATACAAGAGATGGACAGAGACTGCAGACATGATACAAGAGATGGTGAAAGGCTACGGACATGATACAAGAGATGGTCAGAGACTACAGACATGATACTCACCCACAGTGCATTTACTGTAGGCAGGTGGCAGCTACAGGCTAGCCGATGTACCCATACGTTGCCACATGGTTCCGGGTTTTTGGGCGTGCATGCACATGCTCCCTGCTGTCCTTTCCTGTGATTGGACACAGCACAAGTTTGTCAGCAGGTTTCAGCCAATGATTTTGGCTGTATACCTGCTTGTCAGCTGTGGTCAATCACAGAACAGAGTTCTGCGTTTACAAACACATAAAACCCTGTGCACAGACAGTGATCTGGCTTTTTCTTCTCCCTGAAATCAAATCTGACTTCAGGGAGAAAAAACAGCCAGATCTGTGAGTAAAACCAGTACATATTACTATTACACGTGTTAGGCACACAGTTAACCCCTATATATTACTGTAATAATACAGACGCTGGTACAAAAAATTGTCTGTTTATTTCAATGGGCTCTGTACAACTGTACAACGCTTTTGTGCTTGACAAAGCAACTGGATGAAGTGGATAATTCCTAAATTCAAGAAAGAGGTCATCACAGCCCTTTTATATCCAGAAGGTGCTGTGGCCCAAACCCCCAACCCATATGAAGTGAACCGGCTGCATGAGAGGCATTTTCCTGATGTCATTCCTGTACCCCAACCCAAAACTCACACCAAAAAAGATGATGTGTCTGTAGCAGATACAGAATTAGACATGACACCCTCTTTTTTTGTTCCTCCTGTCCTGGCCAACGTGGTCTCTGCCTCAAGGACTGCTTCCGTTACTACCACACACTAGTGGAGTATTAGTATAGGATACAGCACAGCACGGTCTAGGGCACATCTATACACAGGGTATTGAAAGATGTTAGGTAGTCAAGAAACTGGTTATCACATTTTGAGAGACCTTACCATCTGAATCTTAGTTATAAAAAAGTAAAAAAAAAAAACATAAAAAAGTAAAATTAATAAATAGATAAAAAAACAAAAATAGTTGTTTTATTGAGTTACTGTTTTATTGGTACTGTTTTATTGTTAACCATTGCTGTTTTCTTTGCAGGAATGCCATTCAGCTGCAGCACTGATCTGTTTATTCTGACAGCAACAGGGGGGGACTTGCTCTCAGAATATACGTCAGTGTATACAGTGCCGTTGGATGAGATTTTTCATCCTCAGTTAAAAAGAGCATAACTGCCAAAGCATGGGGGCCTGGGGTGGCCAGTGGGTTGCTTCAGCATATATATTTTATATTATTTTTTGGCACAAATTTCATTAAAAAGGTTGTGTTATTGAGTTGCTGTTTTATTGTTACTGTTTTATTGTTAGCAGTTGCTGTTTTCTTTGCAGGAATGCCATTCAGCTGCAGCACCGATCTGTTTATTCTGACAACAAAAGGATTTTGCTGTCAGAATATACGTCAGTGCGGGCAGCGCTAGTGGATTAAAAAAGAGCATATATGCTCAAGCATGGGGGTCTGAGGTGGTCAGTGGTGGTGGCTTGCCCCTGAGCTTCAGCATATATTTAAAAACATTTTGGCTGTAGAGATTTCTTCATCCACATTGATTGATGTGAATAAAGGAATCTTTTAGGTTCTTTTTTCATGTATGCCCACCAATAGAAGTGGTTGGATGCAGTGTGGTATAGTCTATTGGTGGGCATACCACACACTTTTTTCTGGCAGAGATTTTCTTCTCTTTTTTTCATTCAGTCCACAGGCTGCATAAAAAAGGACCATAGCAAATATACCAAACAAGGGCCAGCAATGTACTGGTACATCACTGAACTTTGAGTGATTATACTAGGATGATGACAAGACACAAGAGATGGTCATCTCATGTTTCATGTAAAAAACCAATCCTAGTGACTAATTAGTCACAGGATTGCCTTTACAAGCAGTGGTAGGAGATGAACCCCCCCCCCCGTCTCCCGCTGCCTTCCACGGTTTATTTGGGCGGACCTGCACCATCGGAGGAACCTGAGAATGCAGCCGGTGTTTTTCTGCCAGCTGACCATAGATCTGATTGGAGACTGGAATGGTGCCAATCATCTCTATTGTCTAAGAAACCAGAAGATGTGAGCATTCCATCGCTGTGGTTTCACCGGATATAAACAGCGCCATTTCTAAATTTGGAAAGCATCTGATCACACTGATCTTGGTGAAATCAGATGATTTATGGTCAGAGGAGATATCTAGAGTCAAATAGACCCCAGATTTCTCAAAAAAGAATATCTGTCAATGCCTATTGCTATCACATGGGATATTTCTATTCCTTGTGATAACAATAAACATGATTAAGAAAAAAAATGAAAGGGACAGTGTAAAAATAAAAATAATAAAAAAATTAAATCACCCTCGTCCGCCTGCGCAGTATGTAAACTGCACTTGCACCATGCATGTGAGGTATTGAAATGAATGTCAGATATAGGGCAGTAATTCTAGCACTAGGCCTCCTCTGTAAATCTAAAATGGTAGCCTGTAAAGGCATTTAAAATATTGCCTATGTATATTAAAAATGTATGCAGTTTGTCACCGTTGCACAGTGCATGCACAGTTTTAAAGCATGTCATGCTTGGGATCTATTTATTCAACATACCATCATCTTTTATACTTTACCAAACAATTGGCCAATATATTGTGTTTTTGTGCATTAAAAGTAAAAAAAAGCATATTGTGTATAAAGTGTACAATTGGCGTTTGAAAAATTGCTGCGCAAGTACTATGTGACATAAAAATTGCAATACCCACCATTTATTCTCTAGGGCCTCTGCTTTAAAAAAAATATATAATGTTTGGGGGTTCAAAGTTATTTCCTGGCAAAAAATACTGATTTTTTTTTATGGGAACAAAAAGTGTCAGAAAAGGCTTGGTCTTCAAGTGGTTAGAAGAATGAGTGATGTGTGGCATAAACTTCTAATGCTGGGCATAAAATTCCCCCCTCTACCCAAATGACCCCTTTTTTGAAAGTAGACACCCCAAACTACCTTCTGAGAGGTATGTTGAGTCAATAGAAGAATTTATTTTTACCACCGGTGTTTGGAAAATGACTAAAAAACACATTTTTTTTTACTCAAAGTTGTCAGCAGAATGTATTTTGGGGTGTAATTCCACAAATATACATGGCATGTGTCAACAATATATAATTTTGGTGACAACATTGTGTACTTTGTGAGCATTTTCCAAAAACTTGTGGTAAAAAATAAAGCATTCCATTAACTCAAAATGCCTCTAAGCAAATAGTCTACTTTCCAAAAATGGGTAATTTATTTTATCCTGGAATTTCAAAACCTCTGAAACTGTGATACGTAGTGAAGAAGTGAAAGGA